TTCTTTTTTTCTCTCAATGTTGACAAACGCGGGAGTCTCGGCCGCGGCGAGAATTGTCTATCCCCGCACATCCAGTCAGCCGCGGTCGACAGTCGGCGTACACTGAGAAGACGAGCGGCGAGCCACGCGACTCCGACGCGAGAGCGAGGCCGCCGCGCAAGATGGCCGCCGCGCTCGCATTGGTCGGCGGCGCGCTTGTCAGGTGCGCGACGCGCGTTATCGCGCGCTCGGAGCGCTGACAGTCGCACTGATAAGGGACTCTGCTGCGGTTATCCCGATGCTGCACAAAGGTGCAATTGACTTCGAATGATATCATCTACTGTCCTCGCGGGGGAATCCGCTCTCCGACCTTGTCGGTCAGATGCGACTACAGTGCAGCTTTATGCAATTTTCGAACACGACCGTGGATCGCTTAAACAAATAGATAAAATACATGTCGTCAAATGTTGTAAGGCTGACCCTTACAGAAATCCAATTTAACATATTGGCTAATATAATATTGGAAATTACAACATGGACAACAGTTCAATACTTTTAATATTTAAAATAAATAGTCACTTTACAGTATTAAATCTCTTTAAGAGTGTGTTTATTATTATTATTAACTGCACGCTATATTTCAGTAAAATAACTTTATTTTAATAGTAATAAATATAAGCAATAAATATACATCGTTAGATTTAATATTTGTCGAGCACACTTAATATTATTATTAATTGTATATTGTATTTTTTTTAGTAATAAATCAGATAATTTTATTTTTCTAATAATAACAATAAATATGAAAATTTGTATAACGTGTATAAATTTGTATACGTAACTGAGTCATTTGTATTTTATTAATCTATCAAAAGAGGAAAGTACCTTGTCATTGCTAATATTTTTTTGCTCCTTTAACACGAATGTTGTTACAAAGTGATAAGAAATCTTGCGAAAGAAATCTAAAAAGGAGAACTCGTTGTCATTTTCGTGTCTCAACCTCGCTTTAGGCGCGTGCATCTTCATTGATAATTACATATAATTCGATGACGCTTTTCCCGCCGCTAAAATCTACTTTCGTCCGGCGGATGAAAATCATCTCCGCGACGAATGCAGAAATTGGAAATCCCGTTTCAGCCACGAGCAATTAACGATCCCCGCGGATCGGAGGGGCATCCCCCGGGGCGTTCGACCCTGCAAGGAATGCAAGGTAACTGCAAATTTCCGGTAGACTAGATTCTAAGCGAGATGGGCGTACACTTCGTTCGAACTCATTTCGTCCGTCCTTCTCGCTCCCGCGATAACCTCAGGCGCCGTTCGCTTCCGATGCTCTTCGCGGTTCTTCCCTTTTTTACCTCATCACCTGATCGCAATTGCGCCGCCGCCCTTACGGGGGCGGGGATCGTTCTCGCTCGTCGAATTTCCTTTGCGTGCGTAAACCAGTTATCGTCTCCTTTGAATCTTGTCATTTTGCGCCACTTGCGACGCGAGTCAAGCGCGTGTCAAATTATTACTCCGTTACGCAAGAGAGATCCCGGATTCTTCATTTCAATTTAATTTTAATTTGATCGCGTTACTTTCAAATTTTAATAGAGGATCCCCACCGCCCTCTTTCGCGGGATGAGTTAAATCCAGTTAGCTTCGGGCATGCAAATGAACGTAATCATTGTGTGTAATTTTAAGTAAGAAACCTTCAGTAAGGATTTTCATGAATTTTAAGCAAGAACTTTCATAAAAAAAAAAAGGCGCTGACTTAATAATTCTACCGGCAACAAACAAAACTATATCGAACTCTTTTCGACATTGCTGAACGGAAGTCAGCTCCGGTGTCAGCTTCTCGTTCGCGCGGAGAAAAAATTAACTAGCTCGGCGCGATCGTCGCTACCTGTTTCTGCAACAGGTGTGCCGAGATCGTTTAAGCAGATTGCAAAAGAGCGACGCGATTCGCGAAGATTATGCGAGATTATTAGCGAAGCGCGCGTTTCTTCGTTGCACACGCGAGCTTTTCACGAACGCACGCCGCGGCGTGTGCATTTTTATACGTGCGTTCTAACGCGTGGCCGTGGTTGAACGGATGCTGAGAGCCGCAAATACATCACGATTCCATCATTACGGCTACGCTAAACCGTTGATTTGCCGCAAACGGCCGCACGGTATAATCAAATGCGTACGTTGATCGCGCGAGAAGTTGCGTCACAGTCCAGCATCCTTAAACTTAACGGATATGCAATTATTCCAATGGTACGATTACGCTTCTACGATGTCTTTACGATATTTCCAGTCATTTTCGTCAAATCATTGAGATTGACCGAGATACGAATGTATGTGTGTGCGCGCGCGCGCGCGCGCGTGTGTGTGTGTGTGTGTGTGTGTGTGTGTGTGTAAAGCAGAAGGCAGAAATATCAGTTTGATCGTTATAATATATATAGATATAATAATTAGAAATATTGATATATATTTTTTACATTTGTATCCTTGCGTTTTTTCTAGTCTTTCTAATTTTTTTTTTTTTTAAGACTAAATAAAATATTGCGACTTCTAAATGCTGCTTGCTTTATAGCAATAAATTATTATTAAGAAGAAGACAGGTAATGAATTATGAGCAGCTTAGAAAAGTTAAAACGTCGATGCGGTTCTTCTCGACAAAGTTCTCAATTTGATAGAGGCAAATATTGACTGACTTTTTATACGATGCAATAAATTTGCATCGCATTCGAAGCAAAAATTGACGACTATCCACACCCTTGTAACATAAAGAAAACAGGTCGCAAAACCTATTGGTGCATCCAACCGCAATGCGCGATGCTCATCGAAATGAAGAACCGACCACGAGACCGCGGTAAATCGAAAAACAATGTGGAAACGGCAGAAAAGTAATTATCGCAGATAGAAGACTGCAGCAGAAAACTATTCTAAGCTAGAAAAATTTTAATATAACGTGAATAGAGCCAATAACGACATTAAATTATTGCACGTTAAATGATGATGATCGATATTTTAATGAAATTTTTAAGTTTTATTATTCTCAATGTGATAAAAGCATTTATATTCACATCAAAAAAACTTCGAATTTTTAAAAGATATTTATTTCTCTCAAAGTTTATTTTAATTAAAATTTTATTTTTAAATGTTTTTAAATATTTTTTTTTATAAAAGATGGTCTAAACATAAATTTTTTTAGTAAATTGTAAATAATATACAATCTCTTTATTTCTTATTATGTTTTCTGAATACCTTTTTAATTTTTATAAATTTAGATTTCCTTATTGATATTTTCAAACTTGAAATTCTAAAAATTACAATTCTTGGATTTTTCGTTAATTAATTATTTGTGTATGGGAATAGATATACGTAGAATACCATATGCCGAATTACAAAAAAAGTTTTTATATCATTAATACAGATTTTATTATATGTTGAAGAATTGCAAAATATATGATACATCAATCATATAATATCATATATACATGTATATAATAATAAGAGTAATGTTTTATAAAATAGAAGTAAATAAAAAAAACCATTAATAACGATAGGCATTTGGCTTACCTTAAAATGAATTCCTGTGAACTTTTGATCAATTAATCAATTTAATTAAGATAAAATAAAATTGAATAAGAAAGGAAAATCTTCAAAATTTAGTGAGGCACAAAAATGTCAAAAATTCCAACTAAAAAAGAAAAATCCATTAACTGCAACACAATTCTTAGTTTTCTTTAAAATTTCTGGATCTCCATGTGTTATGTACGAATGTGCGTGAAATGGTAAAAATTCCTCGTATCGAGTTGCACGTGCCTAAATACAACGTTAAGCCCCATCCTGGCACGCAACAGGAAACGTAAGTGGTTTCGGTGTTCGAACAATGTGCCTGAAAAAGCGTATAACATACAACAATGCGGGACAACCGCGACAGCCGGTGCGTACTGCGTTTTTACGCACGCATTTGGGAGTGTCGGTCGATATTGCACACGACATTAAATTTTTGTGTAATCGCGCACGAAATACCCAATGAGGTCGGAAACCCGCGTGCAGCGTTATCAAGTGTGTAATTACGGAATCATCTTCTTCAAAATTTTAATGAACATTTTCATAAACGGTTACTTTTGTTGAAATTGTAGAATTGTAGGTTCATTTGTAAAAATATAAAAGAGACGCGAATTTTCTCCCTACGAATCGTACGTTAGATTGAAGTGTACATATGAATATTATCATTTATACATAAACACTACATTAAGTTAAAGAACCGTTATGATAGAGAAATTATTCTTCCACACATATACATGTGTAAATATTATTGAGGGCGGTAGAAATGACGAATGCCCAAACTGGTTTTTACCCAGGTAATTACTGAGAGATACAAAACCGTGTGTGGTTCATCACACGAAAAACCGGTTTCCCTGAAAGCAACTCTTTGTACTTCGCGCAATGTTGTCTACAGAGACTGAAGGCAAAAAAAATTGGCATGCTAAAAATTGGATAAAATATCGATGTGATGAGACGTAAACATAATCAATTAGAAAATTTGAATACAAAATCCAAATACACTTCCCTAATATGTTCATGCCAATATGCGCGTATAATCTCGTATTTATTTTATAAATATAAATCGATGTATATTTATTATCTATATGTCCATTTTTTCCCTTCAAGTTTGAAATACGGTTATTTTAAATAAAAAACAATATATTGCAAGATGTGTATGATTAGATAGATATTGATACTTATTTACATGTATTATATAATAAAAGCAAAATGTAACAATCAAATCAAGTGTACAATAAAATTACATGACAAAGTAGATTTCTCTATATTTATATACTATAGATAATATTCAATAGATAAATATGATATATGTATAATAACAAATTTATTCGTATTAAAAATGTAAGTAGCATACGATTAATTTTTTTATACAATTGGGGTTTTGATATAAATAATAGTATATGAGAAATGAACGCAATCAGAAAAATTTTTCCGAAAAAATTGGAATGACCAGAAAATTTGGTGACAAAAAATAAAAATACTTTTCAAAAAATGTATAATAAAGTGTGTGCACACACGTGCAAACGTGTGTTTTATCCCAGAATATAGTATTTTTTCAGACAGTTTGTATATAAGAAAGTATATCTTCTTTCAAATATCCTTTAGGTAGACTTTCCTTATCAGCTACATTCCAAGAAAATTCTAATATAGCTGTAGGAATTAATCGTAATTCTAAAAGTGTCTTTGTATGACATTCTTCTACTAGCTTAATTCCGTCCGGTGTTATCAGCAAAAAGGGCACTTTATCCTCAATTAAATTTTCAGCAACAAAGTCATTCACATTTTGGAACTTCTCGTGTACCGAGAAAGTACCTTGCAGTATTATTCCATCTGGAAATTTGATACGAAGTACAGCAAATTTATATCTTCTAAGTACACGCTGTTCATCCTTCTCTCTCATAGCTTTTGTTCTCAGCATTTGGTTTCTTTCTACAGCTTCCGTCCTGACAATAATAATCAACAATTTTACATTACATGTTAAAAATTCCGAATTCTGCCATTAAACATATTATGTTTAAACGTACCTTAACTGTTGCTCTTTTTTTATTTCTTCCGCAGATATCGTGAAAAAGCTGGGCGGTAATTCATTCCGTATACGAGCTTGACTAGGCATTAATACTTGTAAATTCCTGTCTAACTCAATAGGAATGGGTTCTGCAGATCTTAATGCTTCATCTAACATTATAAGGTTCTCAATGTTACAATTATTAGGACTCCATACCAAGAAATCTTCCTCATTCTCATTATGCTGCAATTTTTTCTGTTCAAAACCAGCCGCTTTTAAGAAATCTAATGCTCCTTCAATAGGCAAAACCTTTTCCTACAAGAACATATATTATGTCATGTACATAAACAGTTTTAAAATTTATTAAAGCTATTTTAAGTAAGTTAATAAAAATTCATATTACCTGAAATATTCTATTACTCATCCTAATTTTCCAATATTTTTCAACATCAGGATTATTAATAATATTGTCCAAATATTTGTCGAGTGTTTCTACACAGCTTTCAATTTTCTCTTTTCCAGAATTGCAACTTTGAATAATGAGACACGCTGTTAACCCTGCCTCCTCTCCTATTAACTGCTCATATAGAAATTCTCGTATTTTCTTTTTCCATTCGTCTCGTGATAATATTTCATCAGATAAATACGGACAACGGAAATATACATCAGTAACTGCAAAAATCGAAGAATCTACAATTTTCTCTTTTTTTTCTTTCAACGTTGCATCTTCGGTCTGCTGTAAGTTTTGTTGTGCTTTTCTTTCTAATTCCAATTCACGCTTGACCCGTGCTTGAATGGCAGCATATGACCTGTAAATATAAATAATGATGATATTAATCTGATTGACTGACAGAAAAACTAATAATTTTACTAATACTAAATAATAAATATATAAAATAATATAATAATATAATAATATAATAATAAAATAATAAATAACAATAATCTCAAATGTTACACACGTGTTAAATCGTGGTTTATCGTTTTTCTTTGCTTCTAATCTCGCTAAAGCTGCTTGGCCTGCTGTCTTAGCCTCCTCTGTAGGTTCCGCTCTCCTAACTGGTTGTCTAGGCTCTGTTGAACTAGATATAGTACTGGTGGAGTCTGTCAATCTATAAGAATAAATTTAAAACTGTATGATTAAATATTATTAATTAATTAATTAGATATTATTAATTCATAGTTCGGATTGATGTTATCACAAAATCTATTTCAAAAATTTATATTATTATTTCAATTACTTGTATCCTTTCCCTGCTTTCATAAACTTTGCACTTGTTTTCTTCTTTTGAAAAAAAGACTTGATTTTATCAGTCATACTTGTCAGATATAAGATAACTGTCGCTGTCCAATAATAATCAATATATTTATAATATTTAATATATTACTCCGTTGATGAATTACAATCGTCAGCACCGTCTGAAAGATAAAACGTTTAAAAATCTCTTTACTAATTTATTTAAAAATTGTCATTGTTAATTCAATTATTTTTCAATTATTTTTTTCTGTTTATTTCTCAAATATGATTGGAATAAAATATAAAATAAAAGTACGGATATTGATATCTTACGATATGAAATTTCTAAGGCTTTATTAGGACAATCCTACCTGTTTTCATGAATTGTTCCGTAATTCTAGAGCCGTAAATATGCCAGGCAACGAAGATTAACGCCACGCTGCTTACGAATGTCAACAGGAAGACTTTGAGCAATTGTAGCTGGAAATCGTCGAACGACAATAATGCTTTCAATTCGTGATGAAATTCATGGAGCCTCAACGACGTCTCGTCATCGAAGATGACAATGTCATCGGAATTAAAGGTTAGACCGAATGTCGACAGCAACGATAACAGGTTGAGCACGCATTTATTGATCGCCTCCGACAAATAGTTCGTCCAAGGACACGAATCCTCACATGCGCCGCTCATCACATGAGCGAGAAATCTTTAACAAATTGACACTTATATTCGAGTCAATCTCAAATTTATCGAGATACCTTTCGTATGCACCTACGGCAATCCACAACTCAAAAGTGTGAAATTCGCTAAAAATGTCAGTCAAATCACAAACCGCAAGTTTCCTGTCATCTTATCGATGTATAGCATGGTTTAAAAGTCGCGACGTTCTCGATGAGTTTTGGAACGTGCAAGTATCACGAATTGATCGACGGAAATATTTTGATCCTGAAAAGTGGCTTCTTCAATCAAACTTCAATTAACTTAATCGATAATTAATTTATCAAATAATATTTGGATTATTCTGTTGATATAATAGAATTATTAATTTTCTATTATTTAATATCGGAAGGAAAAAATTAGAAGTAGAAATAAAATACTCAAACAGCACAGATGATCATTATAAATTCAAAAAAAATTTCTTTCCGGTAATTTAAGAAAAATTCTATAAAAGTATACATTCTGTGCTAAATTGAAGTAGCTCCGAAAGAAATCTTTTCCCATTCGTAAGTGTCGGTTCACAATAGATGATTTAAGCTTTAAGAAGTAAAAAATTGATCAATTATAATCGAATATGAAAAGAATAATCGACTATGATTGGCCAATTTCTTATGACTTAAAGATTAAATACTTATTGTGGACGGACACTAATGAGTTGGAAAAGAATCGCGAATAATACATGGCACTATCGACAAAAATGGACGCGGCGAAGTTCCATTTCTCATAATTGAAAACTGTATGGGATAGAATAAAAGACACTACATCATGAGATTTTTAAATAATAATATTCTAATGAAATAATGATGAAATGATATTCTGAGACTCCTGATATCCTTGGGGATGCCTTGAAAGTAAATCTATAAAATGATTTCCAAGATAAAATAAAATATTTTGACAATACAATTTTGTTTCTTCAAATTCTGTAATAATTAATTCTGTAATAATTAATTTAGATATCTAATATTTTTCCGAGAAATATATTTGTTGAAATGTATTTATTAAGTATACTATCTAAAAATTATTTCAATTTTATTGTTGAATTCTTATAAACTATAAAAATTTATTCCTTTTGTATTTGAAAATGAACTGAGAATTGGTAATATAAAAGTGAAATCCTACTCTTCCTTATAAATGTTTTTAGATCAGAAACTCTTTTAAGAATGGAAGAAGAATACATTTCATAATTTGGGAATTCAAAAAGAATTGGGAATTTAAAAACGAATTATTTTTTGGTTCTCTGTGCTATCTGGGTAATTACTTCATTTTTCTGTATTGTGTCTTGTATTATTCATTTTACAATAATTTACATATTTGTATCGTTTACATGAAAAAAATTCGTGTAAACATTACGTAAACAATACATAAAAAAAAAAGAAACGCCCGTATAGGCGTAATCTTGAAATTGTACAACTCTGCCGGTAATCATTTTTGCTCTGATAACAAAGTTATCTCGTCGCGATTATATTTGAGTTGCGACATTGGATTCGAGATGGCACTGAAAGTCGCGGCGCCACAAAGCGCTTTAGGTTCGCGAGCTTTGTTTCTATTCAGTCCTTGCTGAACAGTGACAGCGCTTTCCAGTGTTTCCCGTACTCTAATTGGAAGGCGCTACGTCTGTGTGGCTGCGAGTTCCGTTTGCCTCTTCCATCTGCCAATTGATTATCTGTAATGGCTATAGCGTGTATACTGTAATCGAATTATTATAGGTCCTCTGCGTGATCTCAGTGCGGTGTTGGGTGTTGGATACGTGTGAACGCACGCGAGAGAGAACCAGTGAGTATGGTTCAGCAATACCAGTCGCCCGTGCGGGTTTACAAGCATCCCTTCGCTCTGGTCATGATGGTATGTTTATTACTATTCAGCCTTCAAACTTGGCTGTCATGAAATATTTATTGCATTTCATGCTCCTATGTGTCCTTCGCGACACATGTGCGATATCCCAGAAAATCCAATAAATGATTCCTTCGTTACGAATACCTGTATTGAACTGTACAAAAGGCAGCAGCTTTTAAATATAATTCTTTTTTTTTTTTTTTCCGTAATCTCAGCTGCAGGCATGTTTTTTATCCCTGATTTTTTTTTTTTTTTTTTTTTTTTTCATGAAACATTAGTTAGCTTTATTGACTACTTATATTTTAATAAATATGAATAAATAAGAAGCTGAATTCTTATCTATCTTATTATCTAATTCTTATCTTTTTTTCTGCAGGCATATGAGCGTAGGTTTCCAACGTGTCCACAGATACCAGTTTTTGTCGGATGTGAAATTATGCTGGATGAGGAGAGCGAAGATGGTGCTGTTAGAACCACAGAGAGGCGGTGCAAATTAAATGTTGAAGCACCGTATATCTTGAAAAAGGTTTGTCCATATAAGTATGTAAAAAATCAGATTGTCATATTCTGACATTCAGTCCTTCATTTATTGTAAAAATTTTATACTATCAATAAATATGAGAAATATGGAAGAATCTTTATTTTTAATACTATTTAATTTTCTAATAATTTAGAAAATAATGTAGCTAAAAATATTTCTAAAATTACTAAAATGATTTTTTATGTCTTGTAAAATCCATGTTTATTATTATAGTTAGTAATTTATTTCAGATAATTGGTGTGGATTTTGTATACTTTATTCAAAGGAATGTTTTAAATAGGCGCAATAGTGTTTTAGAAATAGAAGCATACAATGAAAGCTTTGCCAGTAGAGTAACTGTTATTGAAAAATGTAAATATTTTGTAAGTATTTTTTATATATAAGTATTTTATATAAATAACATTTTATATATCTTATTATATATGTGTAATTAAATTTAGTTATTTTTATAGATTTTTATTTTATATTGGAATATATTTTGTATTGAAAACATTTTCTAGCTTAGTATAACACAAATAATAAATAATCTAATGCTATTAATTATATATTTAGATTCATCCTGAGAATTCAGAATGGACTTGCTTTGAACAAACAGCAAGTTTAGATATTAAAAATTTTTTTGGTTTCGAAAATTCAATGGAAAAGCTAGCAATGAAGCAATATGCACAAAATATTGCCAAGGTAATGCATAATACTTTTTATTATTAATTTTGATATAATTGATAGAGATAATTTAAATAAAATAATATTTTCTCTTGATTTTATAAGATACGAGCACATTACATTTAATTACAGGGTAAAGAAATTATTGAATATTTCATAACCCAATTAAAAGAAGAAGGCATTACTTACGTTTCACCTTGGAAAGATCCACAAGAAGGATCTTCTGAGGAAGAAAAGTAAGTATAATATGTTAAATCATATTAAATATATAATACAAAAGGGTCTCTCTATGCACATCTTAATTGCATAATTTCACATTGCTTGTAAGGAAACATCATTGGCGAGCACTTCAGACTTCAAGAGCATATATACATACACATACACATACAAGTGATTGTTTCTGCAAAATATTTAAAGTCTTAATTGTAACATGTTACAATTTTAATTTCCAGCAGTAAACATTTAACACATTTTACCTAAATTCTATACTAACAATTTATATTGAGCAATATTTTCGGTCTGCAATGGTTGCTTTTTTTATATAGGAAAAATGTGGACGAAAATAGTGAGTTATATAGTGACAAAGAATTATGTAATACCGACAGCAAACTGCCCAGCAACAGAGGTATATTATTTAGTTATATATTATTTCGATAAATACAATATTATATGCAACTTATACTTCATTTTTCTTTAAAACATACACAGAGATGCAACTCTCGTCAGATTATATAGAGAGATACTTGGGAAAACTAGACATGCTACAGGAAAGTAAACTAGTGCAGCTTAGACATAGCATAGAAGAACTGAGGGGAAGTTCGGTACCGGGTTATGCAACGCTCCTACGGTTCCTGAGGGCTACGGAATTTTCAGTTGAAAAGGCTAGAGAAATGTTAACGCAATCTCTACATTGGAGAAAGAAACATCAAATCGATAAACTTCTTGATGAATATGAAATGCCACAAGTAATTAAAGATTATTTTCCTGGCGGCTGGCATCACTTTGATAAAGGTAGCTATAGAACTATTATTATACATTAATAAACTTGTTGCAAATGTCACACTATGCTAAGTTACGCTATGAAAAATAATAAGTCAATATATATGATACAAAAAATATCTGACGTAATATATTAATTATACATTCTGATGTAGATGGACGACCTTTATATATCTTAAGGCTAGGTCAAATGGACGTTAAAGGTCTACTCAAATCGATTGGAGAAGATGAATTACTATTATTGGTAAGTTAAATTTATCTTATAAAATGTTTTGAAATTAAAAATATCTTTCATAAATAAATAAATATGTTTTTTAACTCTTCCGTAGGCTTTACATATCTGTGAAGAAGGTCTACATTTAATGGAAGAAGCTACTACTGTTTGGGGTCATCCCGTCTCTCAATGGACATTATTGATAGATTTAGAAGGTTTAAATATGCGGCATCTGTGGAGACCTGGCATAAAAGTATTAATATTTTAATAAAATATATTAATGATTAATTTCTTAATGTGATGTAATGATATAAGTATTTGAGTCTAATAATTTATATTTACTTGATTTACTTCAGGCATTGTTGAGAATAATAGAAATAGTAGAAGCAAATTATCCCGAAACAATGGGAAGGGTTTTAATCATACGTGCTCCAAGATGTTTCCCTATTTTATGGACACTTATCAGCACTTTTATTAGTAAATATTTTAATAAATAATTTACTTAAATTATATAAAATAATCTTTTTCTAATTATATGTATATTAAAATTGCAGATGAAAATACTAGGAAGAAGTTTATTTTTTATTGCGGTACAGATTATCAAGAACAGGGACCTGGAGGTCTTGGTGAATACATTAATCAAGAATTTATTCCTGATTTCCTCGGTGGTTCTTCAGAGGTAAGATACTAATTTTAATAATAAATATAATAATAATAAGTAAATATTACACTTGTTAATATGACTATTTTATATGCAAAATATAGATATAACGCTGTATTTATGCAAAAATCAAAATATTGTCATCATGTATCATAGAATATTTAACAGGTTTTATAATACAATTTTTATATTGTTAATTATCTATATTATTTTTAACTAATTATTTTTTTTTAAAGCGTAATATAAGTATGTAATGGACATTAATGTCAGTATATTATAATAATATGTTATTATTATTGATGTTACTACATTTCTTGGTAATTATATTACCAATATTTTATAAAATTTTTAATACTCTGAGAAAAAATAATAGTGCCGTTTTTTGTTTATTTTCGCTAAAATAATATATTGCGTGTTGAATACTAGGAAATGAATATATGCGAAGTCTATAATATGGTACCTCGAAGATTTTACATTTTCGACACAAACAGCGTAAGAAAACGATACGAAATTTGTATTAAATATGTTGTAGAAGTTTTTTTTACAGCTAAGTTGGCTTTAGTGGAAAAAATGTGATGTGTTTATTTAAAAAATGCACATTGTGTATCATTATATTATTAGGAATTTTATTACCAAAAAAATTGATCAGAAAATCATTGTATATAATATCAGCAGTTAGATACATAGGCATTGTCTCTATGTCATACTTATATGTTTCATTTCTATCATTTATCATTCACATCTGAGACATTTTAGATAAATCGTTTACTGTTATATAATTATTTATTCATTTATAAAATATAGGAATTATGTCAAGAATCTAAGTCGAAACATTATACATATACATATATGTGTATCATCAAATCTGAATATAGTTTGATATAATCAAGATCCTGTATATTTGTATGTAATGCACGCAAGTTTAAGCACTAATTCCAAAATATAAATAGATCGACACTGCGCGCACAAAAGTGAAGTAATTCTGCGTGCTCTTGCTAATTAAATTTCAGACTATTTTATACAGATTAAGCTTAAAAAATTTATCTATATGACAAATGATGTTATACGATTAATAATATGTTAAATTACATATTTAGTTGAATAATTCAAAAAGGTTATTAAATATCTGAAATTTGATTAGCTATTAATTCTTGTAAAATTTCATTTTAATATCATGATTATATAAATAGCCTAAAGGTTTTTATGAAATATAAATATGTTTGAAACTTTTTTTATTTTTGTTAAAATGTCAGACATATGTAATGGAAGGAGGAGTAGTTCCAAAAAAGCTATACAGAATGGATTTGGAAGGTACCTCTGGTGAACATGAGCACAGTCTGTATCATTCTATCAGCCTGAGCCGTGGCCAAACTCACCATGTGTTCATAGAATCGGATGATCCGGGTGCTGTTCTAACATGGGATTTTGATGTGATGCGGCATAATGTTGTATTTACAGTACTTCATAAATCTCGAAGTGAAAACAGTGCTATTGCAGGTATGTTTCATTACTAGATACAAATTTAAAATGAAATA